GCGGTCAAGCTAAGACCCGGCATGCGGGTATGAAAACCCTAACCAGGAGTCTGGGTCACATAGGTCCCGTTAGGCTCCCTGGATGGGGACCTCGGGACGGTTGTAACCGATGGTTAGAGACACTGAGTGATATGGCTGGGTGTCGCAAACAGTGGCGCTCGTTCATCCACTCATTACTTTCCTAACACTCTATGTGTATTCCCCATTTTCCGCTTGAATTTGCTTCGACATTTCAATCTTCATTTCGCTATTTTATCCAAATGGGCAACCAAAAGACAGCAACCAAAACCGGCGCACGAAAGTGCATGGTTAATGGTTGTAAAACTGAAACTGAAAAACTGCAGCATACACTCAACCTTTTACAGATGAACGGATATGGTAATGGTGCTGAACTTGAATCATGCATTCGGCATGTGTGCCGACACGCCGTCTGACATGCGTTCGATCTTCAGGATAAGATCAACGAAGCAGCTAGTATGTGGAACCCTGCGGCAATTGTTAACAGTCGCACCTTTTTCCGTCCAGTTAGGGCTACGGGCTGTAGAAATGTAAGCGTAAATAAAATAATTAAGGAGTCCGACAGCACTGATTCACATTCATCAACGCCATCTTGAACGATGGATTGAACATTTTGAAGCTCAGTTCAACTGGTCTCCATCGACACCTGACCTGTCACCCCCAAATCGACCGTGTAAATACTCCCACTAGATGCCAGCTCTTCATCTGAAATGGAGATTTTCCCGCAACTTCTCCCAAATGGTACAATGCCTGCTGTCCGAATGGGCTTTCGCCATCGGCTTTTAAGGATAGAGGTTCAGCCTTGGTCTTGCGGTTGTCGAAACTCATGAGTCCAGTATGGGTAAGAGAACAGGTTCCAACAGAATTGTGTACCTCGGTTATCGAACCGATACTCTAGAAGGGTGATTGAAAACCACAGGGTGAAAATCACAAGGGAATCAGTTCAGTTAATATTGTATACATGCTTCTCTCGGGCACAATACTCCACCAATTCTTTGCTGCACGAGAACAATACACATTTGAGGTTGGTTTTAGACCCGATCGAGGTTATATTGACCGCATTTTCACTGTCCCAAATTCTAAAACACAGATATTCTTTTCCTCGACTCACCATTTCCACCTCCCTCAATCCAGAAGCCACTTTCGGCTCATTCGACTACTGTACACTCTAATGCTTCCTCTCCTTGAAGGGTTTTCCCGAGAAGTTTTTTTCATCTTACGATTCCT